GTGTGGGTGTGGGTGTGGGTGTGGGTGTGGGTGTGGGTGTGGGTGTGAGTGCGGGTGTGGGTGTGGGTGTAGGTATGGGTGTGGGTGTGGGTGTGGGTGTGGGTGTGGGTGTGGGTGTGGGTGTAGGTATATAAATGAATACAATATAATATCACACATCGACACACACACCCCACACCCCCATCCCCACACCCACACCCACATCCACACCCACACCCTGAATAAATGTATTTGCGGATATTTTATAGTTTTGAAGACGTAGTTCTATTGATTTGTTTAACAGTTTCATCTTAAAGAAACTTTTCCATTTACTTTTCACTCACGATTTGTCGATTCTCGTTTTGTTATAATCTAAATGAATTCAGTGGATGTGAAATCAAATGAAGTGCTAAATGAATATCGGCATTGACTATACATACAATCGACAGCATTGAGGACTCTTTTCACTACATTAACTAGAGACACAGCATATCAAGAGGAATATTATGATCAATCTCAGATAAACAGACGAATACATTGACATAACGAATTGATAAATTGAATTTTGTTCCTGTTAAAAGGCATTGAGCGTGAGAAATATTTTGATTCTTCATAGATAAATAAGAATAAATCGTCATTTACAGTTCAAATTCAATCAAAGCGAGATATTTCAATATAATTGACAAACTCTTCAATTGTTTTTCTTTTTCTTTTTCAAATCTTTCTATCTTTATCAAACTCTTTTGTATAACGACATTTTTGAAAGTATTTCTTACAAAGAAATTAAACATAAGATACTTTTAGTAGAATATTTCTGTCGAAAATGGTTACTGAATCAGTAGATTGAATCTTCAATGTGAAGTGATTGTATTTATTGGAAAGATCAATAAAATGACAGTTTTTTCTATAGTTGTACCTTTGATATGTTTAAGCTTCTATTGAATCAAACCCATGATGAATCTTTTTTATACATTAACATTATGCTGACAGATGTACTTGATCTCATTTTGAATTGAATTTTTTATTCTACTATTTTATTTTTCTTATTTAATATTGCCTCACCACACTGATTTTGTCTATTAACTGCGTGATTCCCTTTGTATTGAATAAATTGATAAAATAGATTTGGAATTTAAACAGATCATTATAATGGAATAATTTATGCAAAACAAATGAAATCTTTTGTCTTTCTTCATAAAATGTTCTTCGAGACCAAATGCTGAATCAATTGATGATAAAGTTCAATTGTTGCTAACATTTGACTCTATTGATCGTATTGATCATCTCATTGATATTGAAAGATAAAGAAGATTTTTATTTCTAAACACAAAAAAGAAATAGAATCGATTAAAGAATTATCGTAATTGTAGAATTAATTTGACGAAAATATTTTATTTATTTGAAGTCATTTTTTAGTCAGCAACCGATGAATTCAATTTTGGATAATGTTCTTCATACAATTTGGACAGATTGTTTTCTGAGCCCGCAATTAGCCCACAAATGAGCCCAGTCAAAGTGTTTGGGTTCAAAAAAATATCTTGGATCTTTAGAGCTCGGAATATAAAATGAGCCCAATAAAAGTAGTTGTTTTAGCCCGGATTATGAGAGATCGTGGGTGTGGGTGTGGGTATCAGTCGTTTATGTACCCACATCCACACCCGCACACCCACATCCACAAACCCACATCCACACCCCACACCCACACCCACACCCACCCTTGCCTTCATAACTTTTGAAGGCATTAATGGAAAGAGGTGAGACTTTGGATTTAGTAGTTTCTAACCATGGGCTTTCGATTGCAATCATAAACAGTATAGGTCAAAATTTTCAAGAGTATGGGCCCTGATATAAATGTTCGATCGTCTCATGGACCTTCTCTTAAAACATCATTCAATCTAACAAATAGAAAAACCAATTCAATTTTTGCGGGCGGATTTAATCAGCATAAAATTGATGAATTTGAATAGACGTTATTCAATTTGAACACAAAAATCTCACAATAAACTTTTGCAAAGGAAAAAGTTCGTTTATTGACATTTCAAGATATTAATAAAAAATGATCGATATTTGTAGAGAACACATGACATACGACTTATTTCATGTGAAGAAAACGAGAGCGAGACACTAAATTTCAAATAGACATACATAGACCACAAAGAAAAACACAAAAAGGTTTTTTTCAGCCTTCTCCGAGTGAATCGATCTGGCCGCATTCTTTGTTGAAGTTGATATTGACGATGTGGACGTTGGTGTTGATGTTGTTGGCGTTGGTTTTATTGGCGTTGATGTTGTTGGCGTTAGTCTTGTTGGCGTTGATGTTGTTGGCGTTGGTGTTGTTGCCTTTGGTGTTGTTGACGTTGATGTTGTTGGTGTTGTGTTTGACTTTGTGGACGATCGTGTGGTTGTAGTTGTTGGTGGAACGGTCACATTCAATGGTATGACATAGTTATTTTTAATCATTTCAACGATACGTTGCACTGTTGTTGATGTAGCGCATGAAGGCTTGTTGCAAGTATACGACGCCTGTTCAGAAAGCGAGTCTTGATTTACTTCTTGAATCCATTCAAAAAGTGGTTGATCCGTAGAATACGTACATCTACTTCCGAATTCGGGGCCTTTGCCATCGAACTGATTTTTATAGGATGCCACGCAGAATCCTTCGCCGGAACAATTTTGACGACCTATGCACCCATCATGAGGTCGTAGATCACTTGAATTAAAGAGCAGATCCGCTAGATTCTTTCTCAAATTCATCACTTCGCTCTGGACTCTATGCCAGCCACCACTCAAAGTTTCTTTGACAAAGTCATGATCACAATTGCTTGTTGTAGAACAGCCAAGATAAATTGTTACATTGGATGTTTCATCGTAAAGTGAAAAGTAGGTTTCTGTAAAGAATTCATAACGCCATAGATCTGTTGTAGCATCGAGACGTCCAACAATTGAACCAGAATGGTAGCTAATTATTAATGTAGCTTGGCAACTATGCTCAGTGCTAGATTTATTGACAACAGTACAAGATGGAAAAGTGACATTATCAATCTGAGTGGAGAAATCGCAGTTAGTGGCACAAATAAGAGCATCAACACGTCGAATCGATATTAACAACAAGAAGACAAGGTGAAACATGAGAGATAAATATGAAACTGGTAACTGGCTTGATTTTTGTCGTTATAGTGCGTTCTTCTATAGCTGTGGGTGAAACTTGTCGCTTAATATTTGTTCTTCTTTATCAGAATTATTTTCTTCTGTCATATTCTAAGCGAGAGCTGTCAATATTTACTTGATTTTTTTTATAATGACACCTTCGAAAAAAAAGACGCTTATTAATGCAATATGTATGGGGTTGAAATACGATATTCACACAAAGATATCGATGATATTCCAGAAGAGATACCCACGGATGCAAAAATCTTGAGGGTGGATGTGGGTGTGTGGGTGTGGGCATGGGTGTGTGTGTGCGTGTGGGGTGTGGCTGTGGCTGTGGGTTTGGGTGTGGGTGGGTGTGGATGTGGGTGTGGGTGTGCATGTGGGTGTGGGGTGTGGGCGTGGGCGTGAGAAGAAAAAAAATCACACCCACACCCCACACCCACACCCCACGCCCCACACCCACACCCCACCCCCCCCCCCCCACACCCACACCCCACACCCACACCCACACCCACACCCTCACCCACACCCACACCCACACACACCCACACCCTCGAATCCTATTTGCTTTTGAATATTCGACAAACGAAAAATAAATTGATTTTCTTCAATTATCCTGTTGACCATATCGACTTAGGAAATATGGATCATTCGAATTAACTAGTTCTGGTATTATGGCATTCCTTCATTGACAGTAGAATATATCGAGATTCGGATTTCATCGTTGCATGAAGCTAATGAATTACTTTTCTTGAAATAAAATTAGTCTTTGTGGGAAACTCACATAATAATTGTATTTTTGGATTATTCAAACTAATGTCGAGGAGCAGATTTCACGGATTAATGTAACTCGTCGAGTTTTATTTAGAACTGAAAATTTTCCAATGTTAATCGTGCTGCAGAATAAAGCTTGAGTGTAATTTTAAGATACATACTACGTTAATAAACACATTTTCACTAGCTTAGAAAATGGTTCGATTAGATAATTGAAAAAGAAAATTTATGGAAATAGAATTTGTGAGTAAATATTAACATTTTTAGTTAGTGTTTTTGAAGCCTTTTTTCTATTTAAGTAAAAAAAATATTTAATGATATAAATTGAATTATACATCTGTTCCGTTTTTTGTAGGTTTGTATTTTCCGGTCTTCATTACTCTTTATAAAATTATTGATATGTACAATTTTTCCGCGTCTATTGACACAATGAAGGAGATGGAGAATAGTAAATCCTACCTTTATAAAAAAAAAAAGAAAAACCAACAGAAAATATATTGCCAAAAGAGAAAGATTGTTGATTGGCATACTGATAGGACTAAGTCAAAAGTCTTTCTTCCTTTATGCGAGAAAAAAAAAGTTATGAAATAATATTACGGGACAGTTTTTTTTTTATTCCAATAATTATATGTCAGGCTTCATGAGAAAAAAAGAAGGATTTACTATGATAAACATATATCATAAATAAAACGTGACATATGTCTATGAGATTTTTCATTTATTTTATTTACAATTTCTCGTTACTGCTTGAGTCAAATAAAAAATATATTGTTTTGATAATTCTATAAAGTACAAGGTCTATGGAGTCATCGATTTTACCTTTCACATAATTTAATGGTTCCTTATGGTGTATGGATACGTCTATGGTTAGTCTGTCTTACCCTAAACCTAGATTTTCAGAATTCAACTTGAACGCTGAGAAAGGTCATCGCCAAAAAATTTCCTCATAAATCGCTAATTGTACGGAGATCATTTCTGTTATCAACTTATCAACATATTTTCAAATGAAAAACTATCTCAAACGAATGAATAGCCGATAAGCTTTATTGTGTGAAGAAAAATATTTCGATCCAACCAGAAATAGAGTAGGAAAAAAAGTGATTGTTGGGCCGAAAGTAAGTCTAAAAATCGATCATACCGGATTTTGTGTACCCCTCCCCCAAACTGTTCTCATCCGATTGAGCTGAAACTTTCATGAATTATTCTCCTATATGTGTTTTGTTGTTTGACATGGCACCGTGTTGCATTAATGAACAGAAACAAAACTATGGGTTTCTTATAGAACCAGGTTTCTGCCCAGGAATCATTAGTTTTGCGAGTACGGAAACATTTTAGTGAGAAACCAAGGTGATATTCGGAATCAGCTCATCGAGCTACATCGAACCATATATAGTAAAAAGGCTTATTTGGAAAATTGTTTTAACCTATATGCAAGAGAAGCTCAAAAAATGAGTCATATTGTATTGTTCCAACGGTACAACGGTTTTCATTTGATTGAGTTCAAGTCATTACCAGCTGTACACCTCCATGTTAATTTATCGTTGGCTATCTACGCCGTATTGAGCGAGCGACCATAGAACCAGTTAGAAAGACCCTAAAACCAGAGTCTTGAGCGGGGAATCGCTATTTTTTTCAATCAGAATAGCTTCGTAATGTAAAAGGAACATAATATTCGGGACTAGTGCATGAAACTACATCAAGCGAGGTACAACACGATATGTTTTTTGAGAAAAAGTTTTTCGAAAATTTAGTGCAAAGGGTTCCCAGGGTGACTTTCGCAAAAAAAGTTTTTTTTTTTTAAATGGTTTATTCTGTTATAGTTGACTTTCTAAATAATATATAACTCGCTCTGACTAGTAAAAATCGGTTTTCAACCAAAAAATATGCACGTCCCCCTGTCATGCGAAAGTTGCTCATTGTGCACCACCCACACCCACACCCAATGAAGCATGAGAGGGATTACAAATACAAGCCAGAGCGAAGAAATAAAATATCCAGTAATGGAATATTTAATTTAAAATTAGTGCTCTTCCTTTTTTCGAAGTTCTTAATGTTATATATATATTTAATTTAAAATATTAATTAATTGAAATAATTTACTTTAAAAATTTAATGCTGATTTTTTTTATTTTCATTAATTTTTAAACAACGCAACAAGTAAGAGTAAAATTTATTATAATGAAAATGAACATTGAAAATAATAAATAAAAATAAAATCGAAGACTTATATATATTTAAAAGAAATATATAAATATGAATATGTGATGTTTTGACATACGAAGTTGTCTTCGTGAGATGTTTTGATGTATG